TTCTGATATGAAATATTTCCAAGATGTCACTCAGGAACTGGATTTTCAAGATCATCCCTATTTCGGGCCTTCCTTCACATGGAGTAGCAAACAACATGATTCTTTCCTTGCAAAGAAACTTGTCAGGGTACTGATAAATTCCATGTGGGTGAATGCTTTCCATTACTATTTTGTTGAATTCCTTACTCCAAACATTTCAGATCATTGTATGGCTCTTATTTGGCTCACCAACGAGGTTCCAGCTAATCGATCTAAACCATTCAAATTCTTCAACTTCTGGACCTTCAACCTAATTTACTGTATAAGGTAAGGCAGTCTTGGAAAATTACAATTCAAGGCAACCCAATGAAGGTTCTCTTTCTTAAATTAAAGCATCTCAAAGTCTACCTAAAGAACATAAATAAAGCTTGTTATAGTGATCTCTCAACTCGGGTAAGGCAAAAGAGAATTGAGTTGGAACAGCAACAACTTTTTACCTTAAAAGGAGATGATGTATTTGAAAAGGAGCTAAAATTACAAAACGAGTTAAAAACTCTTGAAGAAGCGGAGACAATGTTCCTTAAACAAAAGGTTAAAGTGTAGTGGTTAAAGGAAGGTGATAAATATTCTAAATTCTTCTATTCTATTGTTGTAATTAAAATCAGGAGGGAAACTATCCGGGTGCTTGTTGATGAACAAGGAAACATATTAGAATCCTTTGATGCTATGGTCTCTGAAGTGATAGATTTCTTCTCTAACATGATTGGTACTGCTGATCCCAGGGTTAATGACAGTAATCCTAATCTTCTGAAAGAATTGCTCCAATTTACCATGCTTTTTGAAGCTTCTTCTAGCCTTGTCAAGGAAGTTATAAGAGAGGAGATTTAGGATGCCATTTTATGCCAAGGTAATGATAAAGCTTCTGGTTCTGATGGTTTCACCCCATATTTTTTTCATGAAATCCTGGTCTGTTGTGGGTGATGATGTGGTGGTTGTTAAATTTTTCTTCCAAAAGTCCTTCATTCTGCCAGCATTCAATGCAACTACTATTGCATTGGTACCTAAAGTACCAAATTCTAGTAAGGTTAAAGACTTTCGGTTAATCTCCTGTTATTCAGTGGTTTACAAGACTATTACTAAGATTTTAATCAAAAGATTGGCTAATCTTCTCCCAGAGATGATAACTTCAAATCATACTGCTTTTATTAAAGGAAGGAGTATTATTGATAACACTCTTCTTGCTCAGGAAATGGTAAAAGGTTATGGAAGAAAATCTATCTCTCTAAGATGTTCCTTGAAAATTGATCTCCAAAAGAAATTTGACTCCCTTCATTGGGGTTTTATTTCAGCTATTCTAAAGGTTTTAGACCTTCCAAGCAGTTTCATAGGTTGGATTGAAGCATGTTTTACTGAAGCTAGATACCACATATCATTTAATGGGAGTTTGATTGGCTACTTCAAGGGAGCAAGGGGAATAAGACAGGGAGACCCTTTTTCTCCTTTCTTATTTATTCATTCAATGAACGAGCTCTCTAGAATTCTTAACTTGGCAGCTTCTAGAAATATGTTTGATTATCACCCTAAATGCAAGAAGATATGTATTGCACACTTAACTTTTGCTGATGATATGATATTTTTTGTAAAGGTAATGTTGAATATGTTGTTGGAATCATAAGTATCTTAGATCACTTCTATGAAATGTCTGGCCTCAAGCTCAATGCTGCTAAATGTGAATTTTTTGCTGTTGAAATCACTATTAGTAATATTGAGGTTATTAAACAGATTACAAGATTCAAACATGGTTGATTACCTGTGAGATACTTAGGAGTCCCTTTAGTCACTAGGAAACTCTCTGAAAAGGATTGTGAGGTTCTTATTGATAAGATCAAGTCAAGGCTCCACCACTGGTCAAGAAAGAACTTGAGTTATGCAGGTAGACTTGAACTAGTCCGATATGATCTGTTTAGTGTTGCAAACTATTGGTGTAGGCAGTTAATTCTGCCCCAATCTATCATTAACAAGATCGAGCAACTTTGCTATCGATTTTTCTGGAAATGAGCTGATAAGGCCGCTTCTGGAGCCAGAGTTAGCTGGGAGAAAATCTGTCACTCAAAATATGAAGGAGGGCTAGGTTTGAAGAAAATCAAATCCTGGAACAAAGCTTGTCTTATGCATCTTATCAGAAATATCCTTGCGAGAGAGCGTTCTTTATGGGTAGCTTGGCTTAAAAGCTATGTTTTAAAGGAGAATGACTTTTGGTACTTAGAAGGAGGAGCTAATATTAGTTGGTGCTTAAACAGAATAACTAAATTGAAGACAAAAGCTCTTCTTATCCTTTCTTCTGGAGCCAAGTAGATTAGGGAAATTTGGGAAGAGGTACAGGTGAAAGGGATAAAGTACCATGACATAAATTGATATGGTTTCCTCTACATATTCTGAAACATAGTATGATTGCTTGGATGGCTCTCTTGGACAAACTTCCATCAAGGGACAGACTTCAAAGAATGGGGATTGTTACAGATGGTAATTGTGTTATCTGCAGCAAAGCATTGGAGAAAGGGACCACTTGTTCCTACAGTGCCCCTTGGTTGTTTCTTTATGGGAGTCCATTTTGTTCCTTAACGGGTTGAGGAGAACCACTTTGTCATGGGGGGATATGTTATCATGGGCTTGTGGTGCTTGGAAAGGTAAGTCCCTTCTCACAACTATCTTGAAGCTAGCTTGGTGTGCATTTATCTATACCCTGTGGGAGGAAAGAAATCGAAGATTGTTCCAAGGTTGCTCCAGAACTGCTGAAGAGATTCTTAAAGTTATTAAGGAAATTGTAGGTATTCAATTAAGGGGAAGAAACATTAACAGACTAGATAGTGTTAATATCAATCTTTGTAATTTTTGGGGTATAGTCTAACCGATCATTTGATTTTGTAAGTAGATTGTTCATATGGGTTTAGGTTGGTGATTGGTTTTTGTAGCAGAACTCTGCTCCTTTGGGTAATAAAAATAAATTATCCAAAAAAAAAAAGCATTTTTCAAATTATTTTTTGCTTATTTTACCATTTTAAAATTCAAATGATTTTAATTAATTTCAGACATGCATGATACATACAAAGCAACCTAACGTCTAGCTTCATATATATCTAAGAATACATCCCTCTACTCTCCTTAATACTAATATCTAAATATTAAAGATAGGCGTTTAATAAACAAAATTTAATTTCTCTCTCGAATAAGTTCGATCCCTAACTTTATATCGACTTAAACACTTGATGTTTCCTACATGTCTTTCATGATTAGCAAACAAGATGGTCGGTAGAAATAGTTACTCACCAAATTTGGAGGGAACAAAATATAAATAAATCGATGATTAGACTTAAAAACTAAGCTCTTGAATCTGCATTTAAGCAAATAATGGCAACCCAATTTTACGTCGAGAGTGGAGAGATTTGGCATTCACATCTCATCTCCAAGTTAAAAACATAAACACGTGCAAGATCAGGCAAACATTAACTCGTGGAACAAAGTACTGGTCAACCGTCAAAGATTATTGCTTACAAGTCACCGCCAAAATGTTTTTCGGTTTTTTCAGGGCCATGGCACTTAAGTGGGGAAATTCCAATATTAATCCCTTTAAATTTTGAAGTTAATGTATAGGCTAAACATTAAGCATAATTTAATTTGTCTTCTCAAAATTAATTTAATAATCTGCAGTAAGGGATGGAAAGGATCTTGAAATTGAGCATAATTAATAAGATAAGAGTGTTAAAGGCTTGTTGTTTCCTTAAACAAATCAAAAATAATATCCGTTGAGCGAGCCAGCTTCGCAAAATTGGCCCAATAGGACAAAAAATTTAATCCATTACGTCCTCTTCAAAATTAATTTTGATTTACAGCAAATGTTACGGTGTAGGGTATATGACGAGTTTGCCCAAATAATTTTTTTATTCAAACTCGTTGTTTCAGAGTGAAAAATTTTAATAAAAAAATATTTTTTTATAACTCGTCATGCTCATGCGAGGAGTTGTAAGTTACTGTAATAAATATTGTAGTTCCCAAAATAAAATATCTAATAGCATATTAGACTAAATAATTAACCCACCTATAATATTGGGCCAAAATTGCCAGCCCGCTTTCATTAACCCAACTATGACCTATAGCAGAAAACTCGTTGGATGGGGAACCAAGGACCAATCGCACACCCATAAAAAAAGGTATAATACTAAAATTAGCCCCTAATATTTTCTAAACTAATCATTTTGGTTTCCTAACAGTTGATAGAATAATTTCTTTGGTCCTTATTCTTTTTTTCTTTAGCATTTTAACCCTCAACGTTTCATTTTAGGTTAAAAAAGGCCTCTATTTTAGAGTGTCATTTGTGTCTTAACTAATAGTTTACATCTATAGAGGGGACCTTTTATCCTAAAGTGAAATGTTGGGGCTAAAGTGTTACAAATAAAATAAATAGAGATCAAAATGACCATTTTGATAAACATTGAGGACTATATTTGGTCTTATACCTAAACATAATGCCCAAACCTTACGTCTTTGCCACCGGACATATTGGCCTCGTCCCAACAGGATCGACCCACACGTGCTAACTGACATTGGAGTAAAACTACTATTGCAATCTCTGCATTCAGGAAGAGACAATGGTTTTATGTTGGAGTATAAATTTGAACTTATAAGATTTTAAGAAGTGAACTTGAATTTATAAAATTTTAAAAATGACGAAAATATATTTTTTAATAGAAAATACATAAGAAAAAAACTAAAACATATGATAATTTTTAATTTTTAGGAGAAGCAATGGTACCTATTCACTACGCCTAAGTCCATCCCTGCATGTTTTATATTTTGTGTTGTATTTTGGTCACCTTATTGAAAAATAAGTAAATTGGGTCATTCTACACGTCAAAAAGGATCAAATTGAATGGAATTCTTGGGTTGAATTGAGATGTGATGTACAACTCGTAGGAAACAAGTTAAATTTAATGTTTTTTTTCCAGAAAGGAAATCACTTTGATATATATATATATATATATATATATATATGAAGCATATTTGGTTAGTTTTTTTATAAGTCTTACATCATTTAAAGAAACTGTTTTTGTTTTAAAATGATAATATTAAAAGTATTTTATTAATTTATATTCATCTTTAATTATATTTCATAAAATAAACTATTATTTCTATTATTATATTGATCGAAATGAATAATAAATAAATAAATTTCAATAAAAAAGTTAAACTATTATCATTGTTTGCCTATTTAATTTTATCGATACTAATTAATTACAGCCCTCGTGAGGAGCTTGATCTATATTTCAGATCTTTGACGATCAGCTTTAGACTGAGTGGGGCAACCGTTCCTAATAACAGTGAGGTCGAAGGGTACAGCATCGAGCACCAACCATTGCTCCACCGTGAACAGCTGCTGCGTATATACAAGGGGTATGGATGCCGGTCACATACAGGAGCATTCATGCACCGTCCCCTACCCGAGAAAATATCCAAATTTCCGCGTTCGAAATAGTTATACCCTTCCCCGATTAACCCTCCCCATGCTTCTAGGCTACTAATATTTACGTATTGGCCGCCGGCGTCATAGAGTGTTAGGCTGGTGACGGAGTCTGTTCCGCCTTTGATGATGGTTCCGGTTCTTATGTAGATCGAGTAAATGAAATCTTCATCGTCCTGCATGAATTAAAAAAGAAAGGTTAGACGACGGAGATAATGGGGTGGCGGTGGTGAGGGTTGCTTACGGAGCGAGCAATGAAGGAGAAGGAGAGGAAGAGAGGAAAGGCACTATAAGCTGCTTTGTGGTCGCCATTGGATTAAAACTTCAAACTTTTGGAAGCTCTTATTTTGTGTATTAATATGCAATTTAGTGTATATAGTTATAATTTAAGAACAGTACTGAAAGTGATCCTAATAATCAGGACATGAATTTTCAATTTGTTAAATGTAATTTTTTTTACACTTGATTTAATTAAATCGAATATAAATTCATATGAATTTTCAGTTTTATATGAGGAGAAAAGGGGGAAATGTGTAATTGTATTCCACTAAATAATGAAAATTAAAATATGCATGTGTGATGTAGAGTGTCCCTAGCAATGGAATCGGTCTTCTTTTATTTGAAACGGTCAAAGGAAGATTCTCCAAAATCGAAGTTTAAAGGGAGCAAGGAAAAAATCATTTTTGTTGCAATTTGTTTTTTAAATTTATTTCTTATTTATAAATAATCAAATTATTATTAGAATAGATTTTGTTTCATCCATAATTTGAATGGAAAAATATTTATTAAATTAGGGGAATAGTATTATTGAAAAAATTAAATAAACAGGATCATAACAATATTTAGAGAAATAGGATGAATAGTACAAATAAGATGTAAAGTGTTGTTGACTATGTCGATGATTTTACTCCTCCCCTACCAAAAAAACAAAATTTTAAGACTATATTTGAAGGAAATGAAATTGTAGAGGTTAAAATGAGAATTTTTTTAAAAGAGAAAATAACTTCATTAACTAAAAATGCCTTATAATATACGATTTTAACCAATTTTTTTTAGATTTGCCAAAATGACCAACTAAATCGCAATGCGATCGATAATTCGCAACGCGATCTCCGGTATCGCAAATCAGTTTCTAGATTCGCAACGCGAACTTCGACTATCGCATTGCGAACTTGGACTATCGCAATGCAAACTTAGACTATCGCAATGCAAACTTGGACTATCGCAATGCGAATATGTAAATCGCAATGCGATAGTCGACTATCACAATGCGAACTTGGACTATCGCAATGCGAATATGTAAATCGCAATGCGATAGTCTACTATCGCAATGCGAACTTGGACTATCGCAATACGAACCTGGACTATCGCAATGCGAATATGTAAATCGCAATGCGATAGTCGACTATCGCATTGCGATAGTCCAGATTCGCATTGCGATAGTCCAAGTTCGCATTGCGATAGTCGACTATCGCATTGCGATTTACATACTCACATTGCGATAGTCCAAGTTTGCATTGCGATAGTCTAAGTTTGCATTGCGATAGTCCAAGTTCGCAATGCGATAGTCGAAGTTCGCGTTGCGAATCTGGAAACTGATTTGCGATACCGGAGATCGCGTTGCGAATTATCGATCACATTGCGATTTAGTTGGTCATTTTGGCAAATCCAAAAAAAGTTGGTTAAAATCGTATATTATAAGGTATTTTTGGTCACTGATGTTATTTTCTCTTTTTAAAATTGTGCCTTTAAGCTGAAACGATGAGTTTTTTCTAACTAATATTGGTGAATATAAGGCAGTTTTGTTTGAAAATTTCTCAATAATTTGATAATGAACACTCATATATCATTATAAACATTGTACTCCAACTCTAAACCTGAAAGGATAACGATAATCCTTCAACTTCTGAGGTAACTTAGTTTTTGTTGAAACGATGAGTTTAAATAACTAAAATTTTGATTTTTCAACTATAATTATGGTTTAAATTTTTAAAAGATCATAACTTTGTGTTTGAACGTCTAGTTGTGACAATTTTTTAATCCACATAATATTTCAAGATCTATGCATTGGCAAGGAACCTAACATATCTTGTCAGTATTTACATCCCAAAAAAAGTCGTTTTGTCCTTTAAATTTAAAATTTTAGTTATTTGACAACCACAACTTAAAAATTTGATTCTTTTGTATATAAATATATAGTTTTTTTTATAGGAATTTGATATGAATAATTTTCATGCATAAAAATCTAAAATTTACATTTTGATTTTTATAATTTTAATTTCTTTTGTTCGATTCCTATAATACAAAATAAAATTATAATCGAATTAAATTCATCTGATAATGGTCATTGACTCCGAAAATATTAAGGTCAGGTTGGAATGAATAGGCATTATGTTTTACACTAAGCTAAAATACAAGGGAAAAGAGGAAATAGAGTTAACTTTAGTTTTTCATTCTCTAAACATATTATACAAATCTGAGTGATAAACACTGAGATGACATTGTGAGGAACACCATGCTCGGAAGAGAAGTTTATCCCACAATTGCAAGTTAAAAAATCACTCAAGCTTGTCTATATTTTGTTTGAAAGGAGCTTTTGAATTCACGTTTGTAACTTCTTTTTCAAAAATTTAAACAATATGTTGTATTTAAAGGGCACTAATTTTGGGATAAAATTATCTTAAATTTCTCCACTTGAAACTGATTTCAATTTTATTTTAATTTTTAAGAGTAATTTTCTTAAATTATCTTTTCAAAGAAAATTTTAAAAGAAATAATTTTATGGATGTTCAGTCGTACTTAACCCAACAAGATTGATGACGACTTCATTCTATCAAAACATACATGATTTTTGCACCCGGGGTGCATAAAACAATTTTTAATTTTCTTTTGAATAGTATTTTCTTAATTTAAATGATGAAATATGGATAATTATATATTTTAATATTTTTATGAAATTGTTATATTCTAAAAAATGTATAAACCTTTCTAGAAAACATGCAATTTAAAAGAAAATTTTAATTGTATAAAAATAAAAATATATATATATATATAAGATAAAAATGACAAATTTGAAGTATAAGAATGCAATGTATATCCAAAAATATAGAAAACAAATTTAAAAGCGAAAAGGCTGAAAAAAGAAAAAGAGAGAGAAGGAATTTGTTGTTTTTACGAAACAGAAACATTCAATGTAAACGCAAAACCAACCACTTAACCACGAGGAAACAACCACATCCCATGCAAGCCCTAAATTACTCCTCACCCCTGCCCTTTTTCACCTTCGTCACCCCAACCCTTTCCTTCGCACCCCATCTCTCCCATGGAGGATGAGCGGGTCGACGCGTCTTCCGCCGGTACCCGGTTGCTGTCGTCGACACCCAACGCCGCCACCCCAACTACCATGAATTTACCTCCACCTCCGGGCCACCCCTTAGCCACCTACGTCGTCCAAGTCCCTAAAGACCAAATCTATCGCGTCCCACCGCCCGAGAACGATGGCATCGTTAATCGCTACCGCGAGGCGGCCAAGGCCAAAGGCAAGAAAAGAAAAGGGAATTTTTGCAATTTCTTTTTATTGTTCGTCGTTGTTTTGCTCCTCCTGGGTGTTATCGTATGCGGAACCCTAACGTCGATTTACTTCATCTTCACCCCTAAATCCCCCAGTTTCTCCGTCGCAAAGCTCCACGTTAAGCAACAGAAAAAGGGTAGTCCCCCGACGTATGACGTCACGCTGAAAGCCAAGAACCTTAATGAAAAGATGGGGATCCAATACGAATCAGATAAAGACGGCGCCAGCCTCGATTTCTGGATCAAAAACCTCGGATTCGGAGACTTCCCTGGCCTCAAACAAGAGGCCGGCGTTTCAAGCAACGTTAAGGTTAAAATTCGTGGTTTGAAATCGAAAACGGTCCCGCTCAGTGTTCAGAAGAGCATCAGCGACAAAAAGACGAAACGTCAAATCTCTCTGAAGCTGAAACTGGAATCTCCATTGGTGTTCAACGTTTGGATCTTGAAGCTTTGGAAGAGAAACTTGCATGTCAACTGTGATTTTAGGGTTAGCACCTTGGCAGAAGGAACCAGAATTTTGTCCCAAAAGTGTAAGACCGAAATGTCTTAAAGATTGATGGCATGCCCAAGGTATATTACTCTGTATGGGTTTAATGCATTGAGATTTGACAACCTTACTGTATTATAAATTGTAATTTAAATTCATACATATAATTTTATAATAAATATATATAACTCTTCTTCTTCTGACTTTGGTAAAATTTTGCATTTAGGTACGGGCAACAACCTCTTGAGATTGCTCCCTTCCAAAGCTTAACCTTTTTCTTACAGACATATATAGTTTCATGTGATTAAAGGATTTGCAATTCCAGCTTTTTATTAGGACAGAACGGTGTGACATCAAATCCGGCTAGGATATGCTTTATTATACCAGTGGTTTTTGTTTATAAAGGAGGTCGCAATCTGAGATATGCATAAATGATATATTTCAATTTACTTGTTTATGAAGGAGGTCGCAATCTGAGATATGCAAAAAGGATATATTTCAATTTACTCACAAATATGATCTAGATCTAATTCATACCTCGCTAATGTTACTACATCCAATTGTCCGTGTTACTTTTTGGGTAAACTACATCCAATGCTACTCTTGTTTGTGTTCTTTTCTTATTTTGATCATTGAATATTCAATTGTTATGTTTTGATCACATACGTTATCAATTTATTATAATTTGATTATTAGATTGATAACACTTTTTATCCGTTTTAACAACAGTTTAATGTGATGAGAAAAATTATTAAATAAAAATACACGTGTTTTCCACGCGGGTTAGAACTTTAAGCAGCATTTGACAGTCTCTAAATTACTCTCCAAGAACATTTTTTTGAATAATATTTACTTGAGAAGGGGAAGGGGAATTCTACTACTAATGGATATTGAACCCATAATATAGTGGAGAGGAGAGATATCAACTAAAAAATTTTAATCATTTGTTTTAAAGATTGTTGACTCCAATACGAGGATTTAAGTAAAAATTAAATGAATTTAGATTAACTAAAAGAACTAATGAGAAAAAAAGATCAAATTAACCTTTAGAGAAAATTCAAAAGGATAAATTTCTCTAGGGAAAACGATAGGACAATATCATTATCTGAGATTTAATCTCTGTGCGAAAAAAGAGAGAAAAAATATCCAGTATTCACAAAAATTTGAGTGAAAATCATAGGTATCAAAGAATGTAATCGTTTGATGATAGGAGGTTGACCCCAAATTGTCTTGGTAGGGACGAAAGTTTGATCGAGTTGAGTAAATTTTTTTTTGAGTTATTATAGTTGATGAGTCTTATTTTATAACTTAAATTTTATTTAAATTTTTTTCGAGTCGAGTTGAGTTTATAAAATCAGAGTCAAGTCAAGTTGTTCGACTTTATGTTTAAATTTAATTATAAATATTTATAATATTATGGTACTATTTGATATTAATTTAAACGATTTTCTATAACCATATATAATACATATATATTTTTTCATATGCGATATATATATATATATCATACAAAGTGGAGGGACACAACTCAAACTTGAAAATTAATCCACTAATTACTAAATTGTTTAGTTATATTTTATAACTCGACTTAAATTTTAATTTTTTAGTCGAGTTTAGGCCTGTAAACGAACAGAACGAACATGAACAAATGAATGAACACGAACATAAACGAACAAATTTTTTTTGTTCGTATTCATTCGTTAAGGAAAGTAGCTTGTTCGCGTCCATTCATGTTCATTTATTTAAATGATAAACGAACACAAACGAACGAATGTAAATGAACATAAACGAACACAAAAGAGCACAATAAATGAAAATAAACTAACGTAAATGAACAAATCAAACGAACATAAAAGAATTTATTTTACAACAACACCTCGAAGTCTTGAAAAAGATTTATTATGAGGCTTCGACCGAATCGTCTCCGGTGATTCAGTGAAGAGCGCTAGACAGCAGTGGACAAGGACCAAATAGCGTGAGTAACGAGCGATAAGATTGAAATTTGAAAATAGTTTTTTCCCCTAACAAATTAAATTTAGGATTACATTTTATTTAATTGTTTTTAGATTTTTTTGTTTGAATTTAAAATTAATTGATTTTTAATATATTAATGGGTATTAGATTAAAATTTAGTGGGCCTTAATATTTTAAATGGATCTAGAGAGATTGGCCTAAACATAAATGAACGAACATAAACGAATGAAAGTAAACGAACATAAATGAATGAACATTAACGAACATATTATCGAACATTCACGAATGTAAATGAACAAACGAGTCATATGTTCCTGTTCGTTCATTTACTTAAACGAATACAAAATATTGTTCATCTTTGTTCGTTTAATAAATAAACGAACATAAACGAACTTCCTGCCGAACGGTTCGTTGAACGTTCGGTTTATTTACAGGCCTAGTCAGGTTTACAAAATTATGAGTTGAATCAATTTGAGTCAATTTTTTTCGAGTCAAGTCACCCCTAAGTCTTGGGCCAGCATATGACCTTGAATTGGTCTTTGAGGCTTGTTTGATCTCAATTGGGCCCATTTAGGGCCTATATAGGAGTTCTTTTGAGAAAGTGAAGTTTGAGGGGGCTAAAGTGTTATTTTACCTTTATGGGAAAAAGAGGTTGATTTTATGAGGTCATTTGTCCAATCTTTTAGGAGACATATCCCAATATCCCATTTTTATTTTATTTTCACCCACTCCTTTCTCCCACCATAATTACTTCTCCTCTTCCAACATCCATTCTAGCTTTCCCAAGTACACATTTCGATAACACCATGGTAAGGAACTTCTATAAATTTCCATAGTCTATAGATGAAGTAGTATATTACTTATTTCGGAGGTTGAGTTTGGTGAGGGATTTTGAAGTGTTCTAGTCGCTAATGCGGGATTTGAGAAGATTTCATAGCATATTTATGATTTGATTCATCTTTAAAGTTTTCTTTGATCTTTAGAATTGAATTAGCTTATCTTTTACTTGCATTGAGTAGTAAGAAAACAATGAGTACCTTTCAAGACTATAACACAAGGGCATATTCGGGGAGTCTTGGTCAAAGAGCTTTCTTTGGTTGGTTTTGAACAAATGTAGTGTATCTCTAACACTTTGTAGTAGTGTAATTATCATGAAGATGATGTCTTGTGACAGAATATAACTTATAAGTAGGGGTGAGCAAAAGAACGGGAACCCTGTTTCGGAACCGGAACCGATTAAGAATTGTCGGTTCTGGAACCGCAACCGGTCCCAGCGGTTTCGGGTAGCAAAATAAGAACCCTGTTGACATCTGTTTCGGTTCCCAAAATTTTGGAATCGAAACTGGTTAGATACCCGACTAAAAGCGGTTCCAATACTGGTTTCGACATTTTCAAGTGAGTCTGCTTTTAGTACATCGAGTTAGGTGCTTGATCAGTTTCGAAGTAGTTTGGGTCCAAAAACTGTGGAAGTTTTAATATGTGCTCAAGATTGGTTGAGAGCATCTAACATATGTGTGGATATTGAGCAACTATTGGAGGATGTTGAGAAATATGAAGAAGGTAATACTTTTACTTTTTTTTATTCATTTATCAAATTATATGTATTTTATAATTTAGTGAATGTGTTTTTTTGTTTTCAGAATTGAGTGATAGTTGCGTGACACAAATTAATGATGTCATTGGTAAAAACTACTAAGGAATCTCATTCAAGGTAAATTACAATTCATATTGTCATTTATTATTTTCTTACATGTAAGTTTAATACATTTTTATTACAAATTGGGGCATATTGTAATAACTTATTTGTCTTTGTGCTAGGAGTCAGGAGAACATTAAGGGCATCACCGCATCAAAGTTTGAGAATGGAGCAAAAATTACGTTGGAATTGCAAATATTGTGTAATATCTTTTATTTGTAAATGTATTTGGTTTGGACTATATGCATTTTGTGACCTATACTTTTGAATTTGGATTAAACTTGTTGTAATTGATTTCTAACTTTACGTTTTCGTAATATGTACTTTGGTTAGTGTTTTTATTACTATTTAAATATGAAATGGTGGATAAATTTTGCATAGAAAAGAGTTCTACTTGTGATAAGTAGTAGCATTTTAATTTAATAAATTAATAGGTTATAAAAGGGCTAATTTTAACGAGAAGGCGGCATACCATCCCACTTAATGTGTAACAATTAACAGGTTAAATGAGAAAGTTGTCAAAATAACAAGGTACCCGGAACCGGTATCGGTACCTACAGGTTCCGGTTCCAGATCCAAATTTTTAAGAACTGGTTGAACAAGTTCCGGTTCCCAAAAAAAATAAGTGGTACCCGGTGTTGCTCATCCCTACTTATAAGTGTTTACATGATTTTGATTTGGATGCTTATTTGAATGTTCTCAGTGGTGTTTTGAAAATCCTATAGGACCCATAGGATTTTTTAGAAATATACTAGGTCTTAGTGGTGACCTGTAGACACTTTGCCAACGTTATTGCTCGTATCCTTATCTATATGGATTGTTATTAATCGTTCATCAATTTTCTATTTTCATAGATGTCCTTTATGTATTTCTAATAATGTTCTCAATTATATTATTAGCCGTTAATTAATAAAATACGTATATTTTTCAAAAGAAAATATTAAAATGATTGATTGAGTTGGTGTCACACCGAAACTAAATTAAAATTTTCTATAACACCATTTTTTTCATGGACTATAACACCATTATTTTAAAGGGTTACTATCATCATTATACGAATATTTTTCTATTCTTATATATAATTTTTAAAAATAAATAGGAATTACTATTTGAAAATCAACATGAGATCAACGATTTTTTTTATAAATTTTTCTTTTTACTTCATTAATAATAATTTTTAAAATATTTTTTATTAATATTTTTTATATAAAATATTTTGATCACTCACCTAGTAAGTATAAAAAAAATTGATGTGCTTTTATAATTTTAAAACAACATACCAATTTGTGGATAACCATTGCTTACATTAATTGTGTCAACTCAACTGTGTATGATAAAGGATTATTATTATTATTATTATTATTATTATTATTATTATGTTCAAAGTTAGTGAAAAATAAAAAAATCAAATAAAATAGGGTGTTTATAGAATTAATTAGCTTTTTAAAATTTAAATTTTTTTAATAGTTAGAGTGATTATATATTTATATAAAAATATTTATTTATAATCCTTCTTAATAATTGACAATGAATTATTCAAACTTAAGACCTCATAAAAAAATAACACCACTCTTTAACTACTTACATCACTCAATGAATTCAAATTTAAAATATATTAAGAAGCGTATATTTTATTAATAATATATCAAATAATACCCAATAGAGTAAAACTCTTTAAGAGGATAAATCTTCGTCATCATTAATTTTATTTAAAAATAGACTTATATATTGCTGATATTCGATAATAAATATATATAATTTTTGTAAAGAGAAGAAACAATAATCTTAAATTAAATTCAAAAATTAATATTAATTCAAACTAAAATAATGTATATTTCAACTTATTTATTATCATGTTGATTTTTTATGTTTTACACACTCGTCTCTTAGATTGGATTTGAATACACTGTTTACATTCGTGGAGGGTTTTTTTTTTCACGTCGCTTGACTTTGATTTACAGTTTGTTAATGGTCTTTCAATAACTTGATCATCTTTTGTGATTCATTTTTTTGATGCGGTCAGTTTTATTTATATATATATATTTTGTTTTCAATTTTTTATTTATTTTTTTATTTTTCCTTTTGTAGTTATTATGTGATCTTAAGTGACTAATTTATATGTTAATGGTTATAAAAAATATTTTATTTTAATTATATGTTTAATTTATATTTATAATTATAAACCTTCGTTTACATTACAAATATTTTCTCTTTTTAATAAAGTTTACCGCTTCTGTAACAAACTATACCTCAATATATTATAAATCAGTCAACATCAATATAAAACTAAAATATGATATATAAGGTAAAATACATGTTTTGTACCGCAATTATTATTTTGGTTCTATTTTGGTCATCTAATTATTTTTTTTTCAAAATCATATATATTCTTACGTTTTAGTTACATTTTGATCACCTGCCGTTAAAAAATAATAGTACTGTTGATATTATACTTTTTAAAAAAAAATCAATGATGAGTGTATTATTTTATAATGATATGTTAACATCATTTTTAATTTTTTAAAAATAAATGATTAAAATAAAATTAAAATATAACATTAAGTACAAATTAAAAAAAATACATGATAAAAACAGAACAAAAATGATAGATGAAATATTAAACATGTAATTCACCCGTGAAGTTACAAGTCTTTACCCTTTGTACCCAACTAGTTACAAAGATGTACAAAGCTTTCAACCCCGGAAGATAAAAATATGTTTACTCATTTCCTTCTTCTCTTATGTTAAGCAATAATTTATTACTTCAATCCCACCCCTTTTACAACTCTTGCCAGGGTGCACCATAAATATTTTCTCTTCTTTTACATTTTCGATTGAGTTTTTGCAGAAAATTCTTTCCATTCAACCAATCGTCGTAAAAAATCCATAACCTGTAAAAAAGAAAATACAAAATTATATATATTAAATTACAAATAAATTTGAAAATTGTGGAATGGCATCTAGTTGATGTTAGTTTGAAGCTAACCTCATGTGGCTCTTGTAAAGAATATGATGCATTGGTGTCCTTGGGAGACTTGGAGACGAGAATACCATAACCTTGTCCTCTATCTCTCAGTATCTAAATAAGAACCAAAACCAAAATTGTTTAGCCTCAAAGATCCACTTATCATGTATTCAAGTGGATTTAAATAATGTTCTGTTGTCGGAATAACAATCTTCATATAATGATGAAAGTATTAGACTGTTATTCATGATACTCTAATGACAATAATGACATTCGTTATTATTATAATCACGATAAATACAATACAACTGAAAATATGATACAATCACAATTTAAATCCATGCCACATATTTAATAATAAGAGCCAAAAGAAAGTGACGATGGGTTTGATTTTTACCTTGAATGCATCTTCGTCAGTGCGGTCATCTCCGATGTAAACCGGGAAAACATCGGTACAGTTAGCGAATCCTATAGCAAACACATTCATATTATTATTAGCACTTGTCGGTCATCACAGAACATCACGTCATGTTCTTTTTTGCCCCTACTATTACTAACTGTAACTGAAATAATAACGTGTTGGTGTAATATGAACGCGCAAACACGAAGTGCACACGTTCAAGGATCAAAGCACATGCAATAAAGAATAATTTTCAAACTTACCAAGAGATTCTAACAAAAACTCAAGGGCTTTCCCTTTGTCCCATTTGATTGTGGGACGGATTTCCAGAACCTTTCTGCCTTGTGTTAGCCGAAGCTTGGGGTAGTCTTTTAACACAGACTTAACCTGCTGTGCCAGTTCACTCCATTTCTGTAATTTTATACCCCAGCAAATCAGATGGTTGAAAACTGTGATAATATGATCTGATTATGTCTTATTTTTTTCACCTTTTCATCCACACAACGGAAGTGTACCGAGAGACAAAATTTGTTGTTCTCCACCTTAGCTCCTGCTGTTGATTTTGTAGTCTCCACCAGTTGTTTGTAAACCTGGAAAATTGCATGAGAAAATGTCAATTGCCTGAAGCTATTTACTTTGGTTTCCATTGTGTGTGACGAAGAAATTACCTCATCGATCATTGGAAGAAATTCACTAGCTGGTTGGAAAAGCAATTCAGTGTCCTGAAGAGTTAAAAAAAAACACAAGGATGAGAGTGAGGAAATTAACACAGATGATTTTGACCTGAGAAACATCAGATTACTCACTGTGTTAGATTTGGAAAGTTTGTCAGGGCCTTTAATGTCCATTCCATGGCTTCCAGCGTAATATAGCTCAGCCAACTTGACAAAGTTATACACCTTGCAGTTTTCAAAACAACAAAAGATTAACCAATTGTGTGAACATTAAATAAAGGATCAAATTTTAGGGCCTGAAAATGTACCTTGTCCCTGCATCTACCACTCACTATAGCTGTAGGGAAACATTTGGCTACCTTTCTCACCGTCTTTCTCATCTGGTGTACACAAAGCACGTGATATTAATGTCAAATTTATAGATGAGAAGTACCCAGAAATTTTATGCAAAGACTAGCCGTGGTGTCATGTGAACAAATAACTAACCTTCTTGGACATGAAAGCTCGATCTGGATCTGCAACAATCGGAGAAAGAGTGCCATCGTAATCTAGAAACATTACTATTTGTTTCCCTTTCGAAGCATCTATAATCTGCTCGAACATATCCAGCGCCGATGGATGGTGCAGCTAAACAATTTCATCAACCACAGAAAGTCAGAATCTTTATTGCCTTGGAAAAAAATGAAAACCCATTTTGGTTCAAGGCTTGAAACAGGTAAGAACTCACATTCAAGGAACCTTCATCATCGGCAATGAAAGGTGTAGACTTAATATGAGTTGGGGAAGAAGCTCTCATGGAATCGACCCATGCGCCAACCCTTGCTCCTGCACTGATTTCAAGGTTCTGAAGCAAATTCTTGCGTGAAATGGAGAGAAAACCGGGTGGTGCAGGCGGTTTTTGTGCTGATTTTGCATCAGTGACCACATTTTGACAAGCAGCCATGTTCTTTGGTCTTTCTTCAAGGAAACTCACTGCAACAGACAACGACAACCCATATTCAAACATTTTTAGTAAGATTCAATGCCCACAGTTTTTTTTTTATCTTGCTATCCTTGAATCAAAGAGAAAGGAAAAACTATAACTTACCCATTTTGGGAAATTAAGGTATTTAGAAGAACAACTCAAACAAGTGTTTGGATGTTAATGTTAATGTGAGAGTAAGGGGTTAAAAGCTGGAAACAGAGTACTCTGTTTCTTTCTCTTTTTGTTTTGTTGGAAATCAAAACCCAAATATTAAGGAATTGAAATCGAATCTATAGACTTGAAAAAGGAGAAAAGGAGAAAAGAAGAAGAAGAAGAAGATCCCAAGGATTGGTCGAAAACAAGAAAGAAAGAGAGATTGAAGGGAGCAATGGATGAGAGTGGAGAGAACATATGTGAGAGACACACAAGGAGTTGGAGCAGCTTTTATAGTAAAAACCAGACACAAACGGACGAAACGAAACTCTTCACAGAAATTTCTGAAAAGAAAAAGGAAGAAAGAAAATAAAAATGGTGTGGTGGGTCCAACTCCACAGCATAGACCAAAAATTTTGAGAGAGAAAAGTAAGCCAAGTCCAATCTAGTCAAAAAATTTTAAATTATTTTAATTGATGAATTTTATTTTATAAATTAAAATTAATTTAAATTTTTTTAATCGAGTAATTTTTTAATTTTTCCTTTAAATTTAAATATAAACATTTATAATATTATAATATTATTTTATTTTATTTAAATAATTTTTTATAATCATATATAATACATATATTATTTTTTTTCATATATGATATACTTATAGAGTTAGAACTTAACTCAAACTTTAAAGTCAAGCAATTAATTATTAAAAATTTTAAATTTATAAAATTATAAATCAAAATTAATTTTAGTAAAATTTTATCGAGTAAAAAAATTTGATTTTTTTGAGTTCGGGTCTAATTTTACTCATCCTATAGAGAAGTGGTGGTTTCAAGCTGATTTTCATAGGCTGCTGGCAGGATGCCACGTGGACAACATTCTTCATGATAGCTCGCGTCATGTGGGTTTCTGCCACGTGTTGTAACAAGCCACTTGTTATACCCACGGGATTATGGGAGCTGTATTTCCTTAATTTGGGTGGATCGCTGCACCACCAACTTGTCTTGAGAATAATTAGCCATACACCCTCAAATTATTACTCATTTTCTACATTAGTCTTTTAATTTCAAATTACTTTAACTTAGTTTTTAAATTATTGTTATTGAATTAACCATGTTTTTTATTCGAATCATCACTTTGAGCGTTAAATGTTGATTTAAATCTTTCATATAGCAAAAAAGTACAATTTATATATTTTAAAAAATGTTTTGCATTAATTTTAGACTAATATTTAACGTTAAGATACATTAAATTGATAAAGAATTTAATTAATATAATTATTAATTTATTAACTCAAATAAAGTAACGTAAAAGTTTAGTACGTGATAAATCTCTCAACTCAATTTGCTCTATTTATAATTTTTGAATTTGAACTCATAATTTTATTTTAAAAAAGTTTATATCTCATCTTAATAGACCAAAACAGAACAAAAGTAATAGTTTAAATACTAAATATATAATTTAATCTAATTAAAATTATTTGGTATGGGCACGAATCAAGTGACATTGGTGGTAAAAGAATTGTTGTTATTCTTTGAGGTTCAGGGTTCTAGCACCAGAAATATTAGGAGTGTGAGGGTTCATTGTTGAAATAGTTGAAATTATTTTTAAACAGATATTATATTGTACTTCCATAATATAAATAAAAAATAATTATTTGGTATGACAATTTATTTTAGTAATTAAAATATTATACGACGATGGGTAACAACAAATAGTGAATGCTGCGAGTGGGTTGGTGGATAAAAGTTTACGGTAAGTAGTAGAAAGGGTTACAATTTGATACAATATTGTTAAAATAATCTTACAGTCATTAGTTATATGACATGATATCAATCGGTATTTAAAATTCTTATATATTTTTAATAGTTTAGACATGTACACACGTAAAATTTTATTCTATAAAAGTAAATTTAAAAAATTTTAGGAGACGAAAACATAAAATACACAAAAACTTTAAAATGTAAAAGAATTTGAAAATTTTAGGGGACAACTACCCCATATGCTTCATTTAGTATATTTTTGATTTCGGATGATTACAAAGTAATATTTATTCAGAATAATCTTAACAAATTAATAATGTACAAACGTCATACAAATGCATCTACTTAACTTAAAAATTCTAAGAAAAACAACATTTACTTTTATCATTGAAACTACTTGATAGGTTAATCCTTTTATATATTAAACTGTATTATTAATTTACAATGAATTAAAAATAAAAAAATCACACATGGCATGCACCCATTGGCAGTGTAAACATAGAAGTAAATAACTTAAAAATTCTAAATGCCCCTTGTATACAATCGCAAAACTAACAACAAAGCCAAAACCCTGTTCTGCGAAACCGGCAGCGAACGCTGAAATATAAAGATTTCTCTGCTGATAATTTCTGGGACACGACATTTATTCAACTAATTTTCTATAAAACATATTTGAAAATTGTTATTTTAAACTACCCTCATTTCTAGGCCTATTACTTTGGCATCTTTAGTCTCACCCCTAAACCTCATTTATTGATCACCTGATTGTTATTTGCGCTCTGATTTGTGATTAAAATGTTGAGTTTCTTTTTTTTTGGGTACTCAATTATACTCTCAATTTAATTATGAAAAATCAATGTCTGTTAACTGTCATTTAACATTATTAAAAATGTTAAATGACAGTTATCAGACATTGATTGTTCTAAATTAATAAATTTCTCTTAATTTTATAAATTCAAATTATAAACTCACTTTCTTTACGCCAAAATACATCAATAAACCTTCCGCATCTTTCAATGGAAGGAGCGAGAAAGTTTGAAATCAAATCTCATTTAAATAATTAAATAAACTTTTTGTTTTCATTTAAACGCTACCTTATTACATTTAAATAAATAAATAAATAAATAAACTTTCTTAATTTTTTCCTTCTGCAAATTATTATAATTGAACTGATATGGCATCTCATTTAACTTAGAGTTTATATATATGTTTCTTATATTCATATTAAAGTTCATGTTCGTGATTCATTGTTATCCCTTCAAACATTGTCATTTTTAATGACCATGAAAATTATTATGTATACAGCTAACAGTATAATAGATAAAATTTTGAATGAAGAAATTATTTTGCTTTTCATAAAATGTATAACAATCGGTTTAATATATAAACTAAAACGTAATCCAGAACATGTTACGTGACACTTTTAGCTTTTAATTATAAAAAGTGTTGGTTCAAACCAGTTAATTAATGACAACTTGTTGTGTTAATAATCAAGTATATGGAACACAGTCATTTCTGCTTCGATGTAACAGAAATAAAATTGAACTTATAAATTGTTCTTAACCATTAAAAAGAATGTAATTATCCTTAGAAATTTATTTAAATACTTTTCTAAAATAAAATATTTAAACTGCATAGGGACAGGGAACAGAAAACAGTGGTCGGACATGTCGGGGTTCATTTGAATTCTTTTGTAGTTTCTTCTGACAGTTTTGTGAGGTTGGTTAGCAACACTCAACCAATATTACTTGCATGCCAAGTTTACGTATAACAAAAACAAACACCATTTGAATGGACTTGGGTTCCTAAAGTCAAATAAAGATAATAAACAATTACACAGCCATGCATCAATGATGTAACAATTACGCACAGCCATGCATCAATGATGTATTTAGGTGGAAAGGAAAGGAACTTATTTTTTTTAATTCAACGAAACATCACAATTAATATATTATATTATTTTAAAAAATGGGAATATATTCTCCAACTAAACCCGAAAATAAGGTTTGAATCTTTAACACGTATATGCTGTGTTGAACATTAAAGATCCTCATGATATTTGTCTGCTTCAGAAATTTTCACATGCGCACCCTCATTCTATATTTCATTTTACACAACTTTCGGTCATGCACATATGCTTTATTGGTATTATAAAAGTGGGATACTTTTGGGGATGCAAAATGCCTTCGTTTTTCTTTTCTAATATTATAATTAAATTATGTTTAATTTTCAAATAAAAACAACTGTATTTTTAAAGATAAAAGTTTATCGATCTAAGAATTAAAATTTGAAATAAGAAATTGGGAATAAATATTATTTGATTAATAACTTCTTTTTTCATAGAAGTCCGTTAGTTTTATTAAGAGATAAAGTATTTAAAATCAAAGTGAAGGGTTACGACTATAATCATATACTAAACAAGTAATTATGAAAATTTCCTATGATAATAAACACTAAAATTAATCATTTGAAATCGCCAATGGGGTTGGTTCAAGTAGTAAGCATCTTAATATCGCTTAAGCAAGGTCTCGGGTTCGAGTCATTGTGTATGTAGAAAATCTCCGTTGATAGGCTCATCCACCAAAGCCAGGTGTATGACCCATGTCGGTCCATATTAGTCAAGGCAAACCCTTGGAACTGGAGGGCGACAAGAAAAAAATTAATCACTTGAAATCATAACAGGATTATATAAGAAAAAAGTAAAAAAAAATCTAACAAAAAAACTCGAACGAAAGATAGATGCGAACATATTTAACTTCATCGGTAAACAAACTACAAAATAGGATAAAAATTAAGATCCAAATTCACTCAGATTGTTGACATCAAGAAAAATCAACATGATAAAAAATAAGTGTCATCTTTATCAGGCAATGCGACATCAAATCTAACAATAAAAAAATGATAAATGAAAAGATCAACCAAATGATCAATAAAGAATAATGAAAATGTATCACAAGATAAATGAAAACGTATCATAAAGACATGCTTATTAATAAATAAAAAAATAAAGATACGAATGATATAAGAAAATAAAGAAAAAAATAACAAATATAGAGGATCTACTATGAACTGTTGCGGAAGATGGCTATCAGATAGAGCAAAATCGCAACTGATAATTTGATAAAATAAAAATGAAAATAAAGAAGACACAAATTTTACGTGGAAAACCCCTAAATAATATAAGGTATAAATCGCATGCAACGGTAGAAGAATTTCACTATGAGAAAATAGGAATTACAACTTCTCTCGATCTACCAAGGAGAAAACAATGATAATTCTCTCTTGATAAAGAAAAGGAGAAAACAGCTCTTAAGATTTGATTTGGGATGATTTTGAAGTAGAATGATTTGGGATGATTTTGAAGCTAAATGAATTAGGGTATTTATAGTTTAAGCTTAAGGACTAATTTG